CACCGGGTCCCACCCCACCGCCCTGGTCCCCAGAGCCTGCACGCACTTGACTCTGCTGCCCCGGGCTGCATTTGCCGTGCCTGCGGTCCCAGCTCATCCAGCCGCCCCTCCAGGGACTGGTTCCTCTTCTGTGACACCTTTTCCAGGGCCTGGCAGAGCCGATGGGCATCCAGCTCCCCGTGTGGCGTGGAGAAGCTGCGCCCAGCCAGGGCAGCACGTGCCAGCAGCTTCTTCTGCTGCGCCAGCTCCTCCGTGCTCAGGGCCACTGTCACCTGCGGTGGGGACAGGGCTGTTGGCAATGCCAGCACGGAGCCCACATTGCCCTGAGCTGCCATGAGCACCTGCACCCCTCCTGCTGCTGGCTGGAGCCTTGGCTGTCGTCAGTGCTCTGCAGGCTGGCACCAGCTGCTTCCCAGGGATGCTGCCCTGGCACCACAGACATGGGAAGCACCCACACAGGAGTTTGCAAACATCCCTGGGGACTGACTCAGGCTGGTGCTGGAGTTGCCAGGGATTTGTGTGTGTGCAGAAGTGAGATTAGCTAGAATACTCAGACTGGATGATGTTACAATGGGATGCATCCCCAGTGCAGAGTGGTGTCCCTGCATTGAGATGCTTCCCCTAAAAGCCAAGTCAGGGCAGTGGCACCCATGCCACCTCTCGCTCTGGCAGCAGGGAGTTGGGAGGATCATTTACTCTGCAGGGAAATCACTTACGCTTGACATTTCAGCAGCAAAGGGCACCAGCTGTGCTGCTGTGTGACAGGAGTGGGTTACCTAAGCCGTGCCACTGGGAGGGAGCGTGTCCTGGTGCTGGGTGACAGCTGGCCTCACCAAGCCTTGGGGCCATCGGCACCGGGCAGCTGCCTTCCCCCAGCGACCCAGCTGGGTTTTAAACCCAGGTATGAAGCAGCAGGGATGTGGCCCATCGCTAATGAAGCGTCTGGAGTGTTGGCTGAGGGCTGAAGGAGCCAGGCTGAAGCCCAGCCAGGCAGCCTTTCCTCTCTGGCTCAACAGATTTTTTACGTGATGCCAGCCCAGCTATTTTCATTTGGTTTCTGCAGCTTTAAGGCGTCACTGAGCTGGCTCAGGGGTCTGTTACACACTCAGCTGACTGCTGGCTAGGAACACTAAGGGACCTGCTGCTTGGTCCTCAGCTGTCCCACATCACTAGGGCAAAACCACCCAGGAACATCCTGATGGCATCCACTGCTGATCCTTGCTTAAAATTCAGGCTACAGCACTGTTTCCCAGCCCAGTGTGCAGATGCCTGGGCACAACAGGGCAGTCAGGCTCCAGCTAAGCCACGAACAACCCCCACACCATGAGCCCCTGCACCCCCTTGGCATCCTTACCTTGGTGCCAGCTGGGGCAGAGGGCAGCGGGGCAGATTTGGTGGAGGACTCGCAGAGGGACAGGCTCTTCTGGCCCTGCTGGGAGGTGACATCAGCACCAGGGCCCGAGGAGCCACCCTCGGGGGCCACGTCCCGGGACCCAGTGGACTCGCTGCTGGTGGAGCTGCGGGAGAGCAGCCCCTGGCTGCGGTCAGTGCTGACAGAGCAGTGTGTCAGGACATACTGCTCCTGGATGTAGGAGGGCTGGTAGATCCGCTTCCAGATGTCTCCTCCAGAAACGGGATCGATACCTGCCCGGTGAGCACACGCCCTGTTAGCCCATGGCTCCCACGACTGCCCCTGCCCCAGCTCTGGACCCCACTCACTCCGCTCTGACACCTCTGTACTTCCAGAGAAAACGTCCAGGGAGGCATCCCCAGTTCCTGGGTGGCTCTGGGGTGGCTGGCGGCTCTCCCCAGGACTGGGCACGTCCTGCTGGGAGAGAAAGGCTGAGCCCCGGGAGCTCTGCCGAGCCCTGTCCTGGCCCTGGGAGAGAGAGGACAGCACCATCAGCCCCCAGCTGGCAGCAGCCACTGGCACAGGGGCCAGGCCACCCTGCCCAGGCCGTGCCAGCCGTACCAGTGGGCGCCTGTCCCCGAAGCGGGCGATGCTGTAGAGGACGCAGTAGCTGACGAGGCGGTCCCCGGGGTACAGGGCCGGGAGCTCGGTGGGTGACAGCAGAGCCTCCATGCTGTCAGGGACGTACCAGTCGATGGTGATGTCGCTGATGGCCGGCTCGATCGCCTTCTTCAGGGACTTGATCAGCTGGGGGGGAGTGCACGGAGTGTCACACATGGCGGTGTCCCCAGTGCCCCCCTGCCCTGCCTGGGCCTTACCTTGGGCTGCAGCCTCTCAGAGGGACTCAGGAACTCGGCACGGCCCCGGCTCACCTTGGCCATGGCCTTCAGCAGCCGCCGGCACGCCCGCGGGCCCATGCCAAAGCTGAAGCACCTGTGGGAGAGCCAGGGGAGGGAAAGCCATGGCTGGGTTGGGCTGGGGGCTGGCAAACCCAGTGATGAGCCCTTTACAGGGATGGGCAGATCTGAGAGCCAGAGTGCTGCCCTGGCTCTGTGCTGGGGCACCCCAGGAAGAGCCGAGGCGATGGGTGAAGGACACCCTTGGGGCAGGCTCAGGTAAGATTTGATGTTGCACAAGGAGAATCAGTGGGAACAGCACGGGGGATTTAGGGAACACGAGTCCTGCTGCAGCGCCGGTGCCGTACCTGACGGTGCTGGCCTGCCTGCGCACCAGCCGCAGGATCCTGCTGGCACTGCCCGCTGCTGCCCCGGTGAACAGGAACAGCTGGCGAGGGTAACCATGGTGGAGGGGCTGTGCCAGCGCCCAGCCCAGAGCTGCCAGCAGGTTGGTGCCACCAGGGTCTGCCCGCAGCCCGCCCAGGTACTCGCAGGCACGGCGCAACGTCTCCTGTCAGCACAAAGAGCCGACCTTGCAGCCATCCCCTGACTCACCAGCCCCCAGCCCAAGCCAAGGAGCTGGGAGAAGGACAAGGAGGGGTTGGTGGATCCCAGGATTTGCCCATGGCACTCACATTGCTGCAGAGGCGACTGGATGGGAAGAGCGGCTTGATGTCAGCGCCAAAGCTGGCGAGGTTGAGCAGTGTTCCTGACGGGAGGCTCTTCAGGGCCACCAGCAAAGCCTCCTGAGGAGACAGCAGGGACCAAGGACAGCTGCTAAGGGCTGGCCACCCAGGGAGAACCCCCGGACCCACGGCCGTGCCTCACCTTGACCTTGTCAAGGTCAGGGCCCCTGATGGAGTCGCTGCGGTCGATGAGGAAGAGGATCTCGCGGGTGACGCTCTGCAGGGCCCCGGGGACGCCCTCCACGGCCGGGCAGAAGTTCAGCATCAGCACGGGGTTGGGGAAGATGTCCTTGTGGAAACGCTTTTGCACGAAAGCCACCTGCGAGCCAGGCAGGTCAGAGCTTTCTCACACCCTCGGACCACAGCAAGGTCTGCCTCACCCACACCCCACCACCTCCCTTTCCCCCTCTGCCTGAGGAGAAGTGTCTGTGCCCACCTCCCCTTTTCCCCTCTGCCTGAGGAGCAGTGTCTGTGCCCACCTCCCCTTTTCCCCTCTGCCTGAGGAGCAGTGTCTGTGCCCACCTCCCCTTTCCTCCTCTGGGTGGGCAGCAGTGGCCCTGCCCTGTCACCTGTCTCTCGCCACTGCTGTCCTTCCTGGCAATCCGCACGTAGTCCCGGCGGCTCCGGATGTGCGCCTCGTACTCGGGGTACGTCATGGTGCCATCCTCAATCACCAGGTGCGGGCTGTGGGGCTCTGGGGGGCACAGGAGAGATTAGAGTTACCCTGTGCGGCAAAGGGCTGGGGGATGCTCTGGATGTTTCTGGGGTGATGCCTCAAACCCTCCCAGGGCACTGTCTCCCCTCACCACAAGGGTAGAGGATGATCTCCAGGTCCCTGTCATAGCGGTGGGGCTCGGCTAAGGTGACACAGGTGGTGGTGGCAGAATTGGCCCAGGGGTCAGCATCAGCTCTCAAGGCATGTGATGGGCTCTCCAGCCCTGCAAAGAAGGGAAGGCAGCAGGTAAGTGCCTCACAAACCCCCTCCTCAGCCCCCCACCCACCAGGCCCCACAAACAGTGGCTTGTTCCTGACAGAGCTGATGGGATTGACTGGGCCAGCAGCAAGGAGCACATCCCCATCAACCAAGCAGCCATCTTCCCCTCCTCACCCACCCTCTCCCCAGTGCATCACATCGCCCCAGGGAAGGAGGCTGCTGACCTAGAGCTGCCCAAAGGCACAGGCAGGGTCACTTTGAGGGGTCCCAGCCCCAGGGATGAAATGGAAAAAGGGATTCTTCACCTGGAGGGAGTGCAAGAGGATGCCCAGCAACAGGCCCTCACATCCTCCTAGAAGGGAGGGACCAGGGAACATCACCCACATTTTGAGGAGGTTTTACACAACCAACTGATAACACCCAAGCCACACCCCTACCTGCCAGCAAGCAGGGGCCCTTCACCAGCAGCTCGAAGGAGAACTCGTAAGGAAAAGGGTTGTAGGGTCGTCCCCGAAAGACATCCACGCTGTCCACAGGCACCACAGTGGGTGACTGGCTCCGGGCACCTGGCCCCCCAAAACAGCTTGTGGGGCTGCAAGGGGAGAGGGGGTGATGGCTCCTGCCCCCCAGCCTGCTCGCCCAGCATTGGCATCGCCCCCCTGGGATGGCAGAGACTGAGGAAGCCATGAAAATCACCATAGGGCCAACCTGTCGTCACACAAGCTTGCCGGCTCGCTCTCGGGGTCGGCGGGGACGTGGGGAGTGAGGATGGGGGGCAGCAGCAGGCGCAGGGCCCCATCTGGCAGCGTGGGCAGCTCCTGCACCGTGTTCAGGGTGACAGCCAGGCTCTCCGACGGGCACAGCGTGCCGGTGACAATGATGAACGTGGAGCGCTCCACGTCCTCATCCAAGACCAGGTGGCCTGGGCAGGAGAGGGAGAAGGGATGGGGGAGGTCAGTGAGATATGTGGGGTTGTGGAGGAGGTCATTAGTGGCCCTAATCGCTCCCAGGGGTGAGAGCAGAGCACAGGTGTCACGAAGGCTGTGCACATGGTGGCAGATCCTCAGAAAAGGTGTAGGGAGGGGAAAGGAGACACGGAGATCTCCAGCCCCAGAGACCACACATCGAAGCCCTCTTGCCCATGCTGAGCCTGCTGGCCAGGAGCACCCACGAGCAGCACCCACGAGCAGCACCCGTGGCAGGACACTCACCGCTGCTGCAGCTGCGCGGGCGGCCGGGGCCGGGGCTGGGGCCGGGGCCGCACTGCAGGCAGCATTCCTGCACCCGCTGCCGGCTCTGCAGCTGGAACGTCCCCCGCCGGCTGCCCGCCGCTGCCTCAAAGCCAGCCACCACCTCCGACTCCTCCAGCGGGTAGATGAAGATGCCTGCGGGCAGAGGAGAGCCCCGAGGCAGAGCCGGCACGGCTGTGGCACGAACAGCCCAAGGGAGCCCCTGTGTGACTCGCAGCATGCGAGCGAGACACAGGAGCGACCCAGAGCAAGGATGGAACCTCTTCTTCTGTGCTGGCAATCTGTCTGCTCCATCTCACTCTCCTCCTGCCCACAGTGTGACAGTGGCCCCAGCTCTGCTGGCCTCTGTCTTTGCTCCCCAGACTGAGCAAGGTTTGGGGGTCAGACACAGATAGGCTGCAGGCAGGATGCTCTCCAGCACAGGGCCTCTCAGGCAGTCCCAGCCACAGCTGAGAGCCCTCCCTTACCTTCCACGGGCTCCTTGTGGGGGTTGGTGTACAGGAGGTGAGCCACGATGCTCAGGGAGTACCCGTTGGCACAAGCCTTCACCGTGGAGCTCTTCAGGGGCAGGGCCTCCCAGGACACGAGGGCGTAGAGACCTGGCATGGTCCCTCAGTGGGCAGCTGTGAGCAGAGGGAAGGCAGGCACTGGATGCCCAGGGACAGGGTCTGCTGCAAGGGGCTTCTGCCCACAGGCCATTTACATCTGCCCAGCCTGAGAGAGGGAGCAGCCCTCTCCCCAGCCCTCTCACATGCCAGGCTGCTCTTCAGCTTCCACAGAATGCATGGACCTGGACCCAGGTCTCTCCTTGGACCCCAGCCCACCTGCAAACCAGATCAGGAGCCACAGGAGCCCACAGAGAGGGCAACAAAACTCCTGTGGGCAGTGCTACATGCAAGCCCCAAGCCCTGGCAGACAAACAGGGACTCCTGGACAGAATGGGTAATGGCCAACCACATGCAGCCCATCTCTCAGCCACCCCAGAGCCTCTCCAGGCCATCTCCTGCACTGGAGTGTCTGTTGCTCCCATCTCCGTTCATCCACAGAGGTTACCAGGGTAATTTGTCAAAAAAAAAAGCCAACCAGAAGGGTGAGAAGCCCACAGTGTAACTAGGACAAAGCAGCCAGCAGTGTTTGCTGGGGGTTTAATAATTAACAACAAGGTCAGTGCTGCATGGAAGAACAGCACAGAGGGAATGCGCTGCAGGGTGGAGCCCGACAAGTGGATGATCATCACCTTCTTTGCCCAGAAATTGATGTGTCCAGGGTCCCAGCTCTTGGCAGGAAGAGAGGTGGCTGGGAATGCCTTCCAACCATGGCACCAACCCACTCCACACCTCTCTTCCCCTTGGGAAAACACCCAGGAGCAGCATTACAAACAATTGTCTGGAGTCAAAGCATCTCTCCAACATCAGCCCACCCTGTGCCATCAAATATTTGTGTAAAATATTCCTGTCAGCCTTAGCCCTGGCTGTGTGGATGTGTGCACAGTGTGCACAGGGTCTGCCCCACACGTGGGTCTGCACCTCTGCTCTGCCCCAGGCACCTGTGCCCAGCGAGGCCCCTGCCCCACGCCATGTGCTGGTGCTGCAGCACACAGTGTGCCCAGGGCAAGGACACAGCCAGGTACAGCTGAGCCATCTGGTGCCCCCACTCCAGTGGCCTTCATCCTGGGAACAGCTCCTAAGAGCTCTGGCAATGGGAGGCTCGGGGTGCCCTCGGCTGGGGTCTCAGAGTGCCTCTCACAGAGCATCCCTGAAAGAAGAGCAGGGCTGCATCCTTGGAGCCAGCACCAGGACCAAACTCTCAGCTGCACAAAACAGGGAGCCTTGGAGAAGTGCAGAAGTGCATTAGCAACGTGGCTGCATCCCAGCAAAATCAGTCCATTACACCAGAGGAGAGCCATTTACCTGCTCAGCTGGCATTGCAGGGTTATGCTGGCAGATCCTGGTGACCCAGCCACACCCCATCACCACCAGCCCTCCACCCTCTGTGCAGGATGCTGCACACAGTGCTGCACCCCTAAACTGTGCTCCCAGCACTCGAGGTGGCACAGGGTCCCAGCACAGCCTGCTGTTCCTCCACACTGGCAGTTCCACAGCTGGGCACTTCAACAGCTGGTTCCTGCCCTGACACAGCACCCAGATGGGATCTGGAGACCAGGGTGCCTCCAACCCAGCCACACTGAGCATTAAAGATGTATTTCTGCCCAGAGCTGTTTAATTTGTTCCCAAGGCAGCCAGTTTGATGCTCAGCAACGTGCCGGTGTTTGCCGGCCAGGTCACTGCCGTGTTTACCAGGGACTGCTGGAGAGGCTGTCCCGTGTTATCACTGCTCTTTACATTCACCTCACAGGGTAAACAGGCCCCATCTGGCCCTGCCACGCTTTGTGCTGGCTGCTCTAAGCTCTGTGCTAATGAATAAAACCAGACCTGATGGTCCTCACCCCAGCCTCTTCATCCTCTTTCCCTGGGGCAGCAACTTGTCCCCAGAGTCCAATGTGCCATCACCAACAGGTCCCCAGCCCTCTCCCCATGGCCAGCATTATTTCCAGTACCTTCACAGCCCTCTCTTCTTCCTCCCCTCCACCTACTGCCTGCAGGAGCTGGTTTACCCAGCAGCACCCCAATATAAAGGGGCTACAGCAGGCTGGGGTTGCTCTCTGTGCTGGCAGCTAAAAACTCTCTGTGAAGGCAAGACGGAGCTGACTCTTCCCTGGGTCAGAGTAAATCAATGTTTCTCATCTCGCCTGTGGGCAGGCTGAGTTTCCCAGCCAGGCTGGAAGGGGAGGCAGGTGCCTGAGCCCAGCAGCCCCTCCTTGGCTGCCGGGGGAGCTGCCAGAGTTTCACCTGCTGCAGCAGCAGCCGCCCAAGCCGGGGCTCAGCACCGGCCGGGGAAGGAAGAGGCCAAACCCGACACAGGCAAACCCAGCGGAAATTTCCACTGGTGACAGACACACAGGCAGGTTCAATGGAAAGGATGGAAGGAGAGGAGCCCAACCTCTGCAAGAGTGCCTGGAGTGAGGAGCCATTGCTGCCCCTGCTGCTCAGCTGTGTTACCCCTGCTTCCCTGGCCTCCCCTCCCTGCAAGACATCCCATGGGTCACAAAGGCAGGAGAGCAGGATCCATCCCAACTCCAGGAGCATGGAGAAGGCCAGGAGGTGATGGTGCTGTTGCCCTATGCCTATGGGACACATCACTTTGCAGAGTCCAAAGAGGAGTGAAGGGGAAAGGAGCTGCTGAATGGGGCAAAGAACTGTCCCCATCTGTGGTGCCTCCTGCTTTGTCTGCTGGAGATGGGAACAGAGAGCAGAGCCCACTGCACACACACGTGCAAGCTGGCACTCACACCCTGACTCCAACACCGCACCCAGGACCACCACCCCCAGGACCTGAGCTGCTGCTCTTGCCTCCCCAGAGCCATTAAAACCCCTGGAAATCCCATCCTTGTGTCAGGGATGAGGAGATACTTGTCCTCAATGCACCCTAACACAGGCACCCCCCAAAGGAAAAGTCTCAGCCCCACTGATTTCCCCTGACAAGGGCAAATCCTGGCAGGGCAGCCCCACAGAAGGGTCCCAGTGTCCCCCAGCACGGGACAGCCGTGGCCTGGCCCAGGGACTGGCTGCTGATAACCTGGAGCGTGTTCCCAGCAGTCGCTGGAGCCAGCCCAGTCTGGTCCCTGCCGGATGGTGATTTCAGCACTTTTGTGGCCCTGCTGTCTCATCTCCACCTCTCACCCCTCCCATGACCCAGAGCTGCCCTGGCAGCGGATGCGCAGCCCTGGGACACCGAGGAATTGCGGGACACCCTCGGGGTCCCAAGCCACCACGGTCCCTGCCCTGCCCTGCCTGCCCCTGGCCCTGCTCCTTACCTGGAGGAGGAGGATGAGGATGGAGGAGACAGAGGCTGCAGGCTCCTCTCAGCACCCGCTGCTCCCTGCTCCTGCAGAGCCCCTTCCCTGGGGATGGGTTTCCCTCCGTCAGGGTGGCTGCGGTACCCGGGGGATGAGCGCTCCCTCCCCGCCTCTCCCTGCTGCAGGCTCCCTCTCTGGCACTGGCTCCTTCACCGCCCTCGCTCCATCCCTCACTCCCTGTGCCAGCAGCAGAGCTGCTCCAAGCCCAGCCTCATTAAAGAGACACACTCCCTATACCGGCACCCGGGGGGGCGGGGGGATGCTCTCCCAGGGAACGCTGGGGGGCTCAGGGGACAGCCAGCACCCTCACACAGTGACAGGCACCGGTCAGGAGCACAGTCCATGGCTGTGGGCTGCTCTGGACCCACAGAACAGCAGTGTCCAGGCAAACTGGGGTGCTGGTGAGACCCCTGGTGATGCTGCAGCAAGAAAAACCACGGGGTTTGTGTGACTGGGACATGTAACCACACCCCGTGTGCCCCCCAACAGATCGTGAGGCAAAACAGCCCCCATCAACCAGCTGAACTCTCCAGCACAAATAACATTGGCCACAAGTGTCACAACCAGCCTCACTAGGAAAGGTCTCAGCTGCCCTGAGACCATAACAAAATGACTGGGAGCAGGTAGGTGTTCGATATCCACCCCAAACCCAGATGCCCTGGGGTACCACTGGGCTTTCCTCCTCAGCCTCCATGTGCTGCAGTGAAATCACAGCCCTGAGGAGCAGGAACGAGGGGGGATCCAGGGACAGCGCAGCTTTTGGGACACAAGTGTGACAACAAGCCCCCCTGGGGAAGGTGCAGGCAGTCAGGAAATCCCAGCAAAGTCAGGACATGTCTGCTGGCAGGAGATCTCACAGCCCGGGGCGCACTGGGAATCCCTCAGCCACTGACAGCCCCACGTTCCCAAGCAGGACCAGAGAGATCCATCAGATTTGGGCTAATCCTGTCCTGCCTTTCCCTGTGCTATAGATAGGACTGTGCTGCTGCAGCTCTTTTTATAGAGACACAGAGAGGAGCCCCCCCACCCACTCCTGCACACAGAACCCACCGCCACACCCAGCCTGGAGCCAGTCCAGCACAAACTGGGGCAGAAAATCCAGCAGCACCACAGGGGGAGCAGTCCCCAGCCCCCAGCAGGTATTTTTAGATCTCACCTCTGAGCTGGCCCATATGCCACCGCAGCTGCAGCTCCGTGACACGGGTTTCACAGGTGACAGCAGGAGCAAGGCAGGGAAATCGTGCTGGAAGATGCCCTTGGATGTACACGGGAGCTGAGACACACTCCTCCCTTCTGACCCCTCAGCCCAAGCTTTAGCCAGCAATTATCTGGCCGAGAGGCACTCTGTGCATCCCTGGGGCCCTGCTAGAGCACTCTGAGCCATTCCCTCCCTTGTGAGATGCCCCATGGCACATCAGCTCCCCTCCCAGTGCACAGAGGAGAGCTGAAGTGTGCAGCTGCTCCCCTTCCCTCTGCTTTACGACCACAGGAGAAGGATGCTAATCCATGTGTTATCCCCTCATGACAGCCACCAGCTCTGGGAGCTGCAGGAGGCCCCACACACACCACAACACATCCCCACAGCCTGCAATGTGCACAGGACTCCTGCTCCCATCATCACAGCGAGCACCACAGCCACTCCAGCCCCAGAAAAAAAAAAACCCCACAAGCTTTGATTTTTCTCTGAGATATCATTTCTAGGCCAAGCTGAGGCGAGGAAAAGCATTCAAATGCGAGCCCTGGTTCAGTGCCACCAGCCGGGGCGCTGGAGCTTGGCCAGCCCCCAGCGTCAGACGCGGGCCCGGGTGTGACAGCAGGTGAGTGACAACGGCCTGAGCAGCGCTGGGTACACAGCTGGGTCGCCCCAGCGTGCTGGCAGCTTCAGCAGCAGACACAGAAGGGCTCCATCCCGATCTGCTCCCAGCAGCACCAGGCGTTTGTGTCCCTGCTCTGCACTGTCTCAGCTTCCCCACAGGGGCTCATCACAGACACAAACAGACCTGGAGATTTTGGCATAGCTCTTCAGCAGAGTGCTGACCTAAAACACGTTAAACTCTGCAAACAGAGGCCGAGCTCAGCCCAATGGCTCCATTCAGCTCCTTCACACCCCAGCAACACCTCAGCAGCAGCTGCAGCACAGCCCAAGGGACCAATCAGCATCTGAGTATTTATCCCCAAATCACCTCTCCCTAGAGCCGAATTATCACCTATTGATAGGGCTTGATGGAGGGGGCACAGACCACAGAGATTTTACAGATGCTCCTCTCAGGTCCTGAGTAGCTGACAAACCCTGTGAATGTAGTGTGAGTTGAGTTATTTTGGGAAATAACCCAAAACCCGGGCTGGCAGGAGCTGTGCCAATGCAGCTGCAACTCGTCAGACCTTGCTGAAGATGGCACAGGCTTGCCTGCAGGGAGAGGGGCAGGGGCATCCTGTTTAGCTGCTCCGTAATAAACAACAACTAAACCAAATCCTGGGGATGGGCAGCCATGGAGGAGGAAGGTGCCAGGGGTGCTTTTGGTCAAAATCAGGCACACTGTGGCTTAACCCAGGTAACACTGGTCTGCCCAGCTGTAGGGAGATACAGAGGGCCTGGAGGGAGGAAATGAAAGGACACATCAGCAGAGCTAGAGATGGCTGGTGGAGACATCTGGGATCCTTGGGGAGAGGGGCTGGGAATGCTGCCAGCATTCAGCCTGCCCAACTGAAATCTTCCCGGCATGCTGGCAGAGGTGGTGGAGGGGCTGGAAGCCCCTGTGAGGCTGCCTTTGACACAGACCCAGGCCACGCATTGGTGGCTGCTGGATTTGCTTTCGGCAGGCGAAAACAACAGGGGCTCCCAGCCGCGGGGCGGGCCCAGGGGGATCGAGTTCGCAGCAGCTCAGCAGCCCCAGCCTCTCCGGAGAAACCGAAACTGCCGGGATTTGAGGAACCCGAAACTCCCGTGCCGTGACGCCTCTCTCTGCTTCTCGCAGGGACCGAGCCCTCGGCGAGGCTCGGGGTGGGGCTGAGCCATCCCTGCTCCGGAAGCCGCTCACAGCAGCACAGCGGCCGCTCCGGGTGGGTATCGCTCCGGTGGGCATCGCTCCGGGTGGGTATCGCTCCGGTGGGCATCGCCACTCCGGGGGGGCATCGCCGCTCCGGCTCCGCCCTTCTCCCGAACGTCTGCTCGCAGTGGGACGTGCGGCTTCAGGTCAGCCTGGGCCACCGGGGCTCGGCGGGGTCGCGCCAGGTCAGCTGTCCCTTCACAGCGGAGCTCGGGAGGCTCAGCCCTCTGCGCACGGGCGGGGATGGGCTACGCGAGGGCCGGGCTCGGACCCGTACCTACGGACGGGGCTGCGAGCTTTTTCCCCAGCCCGGCGTAGAATGTTCAGGGGTGCCGGGGAGCGCGATGCGGGGAAGGCGGGGGGATGCGGGGCCGGAGCGGAGCGGGCATGCCGGGGCGCATCCCACGGCGCCAATGCCGAGCGGCTGCTTCCCTCTAGCGGGGACCGGGGGCTTGGCCGGCGGCTGCTCCCGGCCCGGCCCGGCCCCGCACCGCCTCCCGCAGCCCCGGGCCGCCGCCCTGCAGCACGTGGGGAAGGCGGGACGCGCTTCCGGAGCGGCGGCGGCGGCGGAGCGGTGAGAGCGGCGGCAGCGGGCCGGGAGATCCGCACCGCGGTCCCGGAGCGCGCCCGGGGTCCCCGGGGGGGTGCTGGGGGTTCCCGGCTCCCCTCTGGCCGAGCGGATGGGCCCGCGGGGAACGCGCCCGGTCCCCGGGCAGAAGCGGCTCCTGCGGGCGCCGCTCCCGGCGGGGATGGCTCCGCTGTGCCCCCGCCCTGTCCTCGGGGCGGCCCGGGCTGGGATGCGGAAGGGGGTGAGAACAAGCACCCCAGCTGGGCCTGCTGCCATTCCACCGAGACACGTGAGCCCAGGGAAGGTGTGGGAGCGGCAGTTCTGGCAGGGACACGGTGTGCCCTGGAGCAGGCGCAGGGAGTGCTAAGGAAAGGGAAATAAGTGTTGTGAAGATCTGCATTAAACTTGATTCCATTTCCGCAGTACAAGATCCTCTGACCTGTAGCAATGGGAAGACCCAGGAAGGAGGCTGCTGGCACATCATCCCCCCGAGCGGCCGCAACCGCCTCCAAAACTGCTCCCGCTGCGCCCCCGCCTTCCACTTCAGCCGCCCGGGCCAAGGCCGCGGCTGCGGGGAGCCAGTCCCGAAGCACTCCGGCTGCCAAGGCTGCCACCCCCACGCAGGGCCGGGGGACAAAGGCAGACTCTGCTCAGCCGAGATCCACGGCATCCCGCGGAGCCCGAGGAGATGCTGGGGACAAGAGCAGAGCACCCAGCAGGAGTTCTACAGCACAGAAGGCGCCTGATTCCAAGGGAGCCGCTGGTCCTGCCAGGACTGAGCTGTACCCACAGAAGAAGCAGCCTGGGGCTGACCTGAGCAAGGCCTGTGACCAGTTCCTGCCCCCTGTGAAGAGCCAGGACATCCCGAGGGTGGAGAAGGAGACCCGGGGCCAGCGGGAGAACCCCAAGTGGTACGAGTGGCGGGAGAACCGCATCACCGCCTCCGTGGCCCCCAAAATTGCCAACAGCAAGTTTGCCAACAGCAAGACAGACGAGGTGCCCAAGTCGTACCTAAAAGAGGTGGTGGGCTCTGGCTCCAAGGTGCAGACCCCAGCCATGTCCTGGGGGATCCGCAACGAGAAGGTGGCTGTGGAGGCCTACAAGCAGAAGTTACAGAAGGGGGGCAAGCCAGTGCAAGTGGAGGACTGTGGCCTCTTCATCCACCCTGAGAAGAGTTGGCTTGCTGCCAGCCCGGATGGGATCATCAAGGATCCAGCCACAGGGAAGGACCTGGGGCTGCTGGAGGTGAAGTGTCCCTACAAGCATAGGAACAGGACGGTGCGTGAGGCCTGTAAGGACAAGGACTTCTGCCTGGAGGTGGATGGGGATTCCTATGTCCTGAAGAAGAATCATCCCTACTTTACCCAGGTCCAGTGCCAGCTGGGAACCACTGGCTTGCAGAGGGCTGACTTTGTGGTGCACACCAACAAGGAGACAGCTGTGGTCCCTGTGGAGTTTGACAGGGAGTTCTGGGGGAAGACAGTGCCCAAGCTGGAGAAGTTTTACACGGAGGCAGTGATTCCCCACCTGGAGCAGAAGGCAGGCAGCTCTGTGTGGGC